GGCGGCGCCGAGGGACGCCGGCCTTGTTGCCTCCCCTTGGTCTCCCCAGCCACTGGGGTTCCTGCTGGCCTCCCCTTGTGTCCCCTGAGGGTGGCCTCTCTGGGGCAAAGCCTGTGACAGGGTGCCCTCACCCTCCAGCTGCCCCAGAGGCAAAGCCAGAAAGGTGAGATGACAGTCTGGGCATTCAGAAAAAAACGCTCTGTATTGAATGATCAGTCTCTGCGAAGGCGAGGAAGAGGGGTTTCCAGGCTGGTTTGGCCTGACAGAGGAAGGCCTGCTGGTTTCCCTCGGCTTGCTTTCCAAGGCACCCTGGTTGCTTTCGGTTGCCCGGCCCCGCTTTCTGCAGTTAACTTCCTTGGTTTCTGCGTTTCTCCAGGTCAGCCAGCAAGTCCACAATCTCTGCAAAGTGCAAGGATGGTGTTAATCCAAAGAGAATATCTGTTGTAGGCTTTCCCCTGCCCCGCAATGAAATAGCTTCCCCAGCTATCCCTTGGTGATAACAGCAGGGAAGTGGAGTCACTCTGCCCTCAGGCCAGGACGATTGGGCAGCCATAGCAGGGAACTGACCTGAGCAGACACAGGTGAGTACAGCCCAAGGAAAAGCAGCTTTGTATAAGGAGAGATGCCTGGAAACAGCCACAAGAACATATCCTTCCAGCTCAGCACCATGCAGGCACGGCTGGTTATAGAATCAGAGTAATAAAGGCACGCTGTACCCTCAGTGTCGCTTTGCCAATGTCTCTGATGATTTTTTTGGTGTTTTGGCTTTGGCCAGGGCAATTCCCTGTGGCAGAGTCTGCTGGGGGACCTGCTGTTGCGAGACAGAGGCACAGAGAGCACAACACACAGCAAGAGCTGGGTGGTTTCTTACGCACAGTCCCCACATCTTTTATATGGAAACCATCCCCATAGGATGGAGTGGATGAGATCAAAGGAAGCTTTCTCCACCTGTAGAAATGAGGGAAGGGTACAATCTCTGTGCCATCGAGCACACCAGCAAGGTTCCTCTATCTTTCCCTGCTATTTCGATTAAATCTCCTGATGAAGAACGATTATTTATCTGATCAGTCCCAAAACACCTTCAGAGACAGTGAATTCTTCCCTGCTGCAGAGCAATTCCTGAAACTGCAACTTATTACAGGATCTGCAGGACATGAGTGGGGATTAACCCCCACACACCTGGTCCGAGTTCAGCACTTGTCTGAGAGAAAAAGCTGTTTTTTACGTGATGTCAAGTTTTTTACGTGATGCCCAGTGATTATTGCCATAGCATGGATAAATGTTAATTGTATGAACCATCACACTACAGAAGGAAGTGGAGTCTAGTATTAGAGGACTCATTAGCATAAGAAGATAGGTCAAGGAGGGATTCTGAAACAGAAAGTGAGACAAATTCATATGGAAAATAAGGGGCAAATTGACCCCTGAAGCAGCTGAGTGAGGGGTACGAAGAGCAGAAGTCCAGGACGTTTACCCTCGGCAGAAGGGCGTTGAGAAGGATCAAAGGCCCGGCACTGGTCAATGACTTTCCGCAGGTCTTCAGGACAATCTTCCCCAACAGGATCCTGGCTATGGTTATTGCAGATTTTCTCTATGATCTCCTGGGGAGTGCAGCCTAGACAACATGTGTGCGAACAGGAGCGTCAGGACTGAGCTCTGCTGCCACAGAAGGGTCCTGGGGGGGAAACTCAGTGTAAAGCCACACCAGGAGCCTTCCTGCAGCCTATGACATGGAGAAGCCAGCAGAGAAACCACCCAAACTGTGTGTGCAATGAACCCCCCCCCCCCGTATTTGGCATGACACCGTTGGGCTCCAGTGGAGCAAGGAGATGCGTTTACGCTTCAATGCAAAGGAACATCAAATAGAGACAAAAATTACTTTCATGTTTGTGGTTTAAGCATGTGGCTGAAATGCTTTACTGTATTGGAGTCCCAGCAGAAACCGTGAAGCTGTTGTGCAGAGCCAGGCACACCAGGCACTGTCACTGGGACTCTCACACCGTGGGATGCTCTGGGAATGAGCAGGGAGCATCCAATGCCAGACAGCAGCCACATTGATCCACATGTGGCATTTACAGGGGGGACTAGCTACTGCTGTCTCACCTTCAAATGGGATTTTGGAGGTGGCAATCTCCCACAGCACGATCCCGAAGCTGGAAGGAGACAAACAAGAATCTCAGCTTTCATCCCACCACATGGTCCTCCCTTTCAACAGAGGAGACTGTCAGGCTACGCCAACCGCAGACGGCTCTGATGTGACCGATTAAACCCAGCCTTCTTCCGTAACTTGACAGCTACTCTGGCAGACATCTGCCTGCTTATGGACATCTATCCCAGGAGGGATGGACACACCTGTATATTTCACAGGGTCTCTTGTAGAAGTAGCTGATGTCTTTCAGGTTCTCAGGGGCAACATAAGCCAACATAGAGACTTGTTTCCAGTTCTTCATGACTTTCCTCTTGATGGAGGACTCTGTTTCACACAGCTCAAATCCCGCAAGCTGATTGAGAGGATGAGAAAGAAAGAGGGAGAAGTGGTTGAAATGCAGTCTGTAGGAACCTGTGACATGGCTGGGGACTTCCCCGAGCTGGAGAAAACGGATCACAATGTCCTGAGCAGCAGAGGCTGGCATGCAGCCACGTGTGCTGCCTGGCACATGGCTCTTTCTGCAAGTGAAAGCACAGATGGAGGCAGGTGAATTGCCACCCTCTCTTCAGCTCATCCCAGTGTGGATGAAATGCTCACTTCGCTGATGATAGAACAGAGGTAATGATGAACTGAGATGTTAAGTGTCTAAGATGACAGGGGCGATGACTCTTACCCAAGTGTTACTCTGGACCATCATAATTCCCTTTGGTGTTCATGGGGGAAGACATATAAGACTCCCGAAAGCTTATCCGAGTGTGGTCCTTACCTTCACACAGTAATCCCCAGCCACCAGAAACTTGCTACTGCAGATGCAGCCATGGAGTCGAGACTTCTCCTCTGTCTGGTGCAACCTGCAGCCACACAGAACCAAGAGATGGTGATGGACCCGTCCCCATCTTGGGTCTCCCTCTCTCCATGTAGGGGGGGAACTGACATGCACCTAGAGGAGCCAGCAGCTCTCTGCCTGTCTTGGTGGACCAAGCCTTCCAAGCCAACCTTTCCAGCAAGTGCTGAAAGAGCTATTGTGGGCAAAATAACATCTCTTGCAGGTGAGCGGGGCCTGTATGAAGAACAGGCCGTACTGTAGGGTGCTCCTAAAGTCGTCCTATGGATGTGTTTCTCCCTTCCAGGCCTTTGCAGGCTTCAAGCCAGATGTAGGGGCCAGTGACCAGGGGACATGGGCACGACTGCATCCAGACCCACCTACCGCTGTTTACCAAGAGACACCAGGAAGCTAAGCACGGCTTGTGGACCACCAAGAGGACTTACTCTCTACTTTAGGCAGGAGCTCACCTGTAAAGGCCTCTGGCAGCTCCCAGGGCCATCCGAATGCGGATCTCCCAGGAGAGATGCTGTTGCTTGGTCAGCACATCCCGCAGCGTCCCATGCTTACAGTACTCCATGACGATGGAGAAGCAGGGGCTCCCATCTGTAAGACAAAATCTTGAGCATCCCACTGTGTCCCACCTCTTGGGAGAGGATCATGACAAACCGTCTGCCGCCAGCTAGCATCGGGGATAGACAGGGGAGGGAAAGGGTGACGTTAATAACCCCCTACCTTTCTCCTCAATGCAGATCCCGTACATGCGCAGGATGTTTGGAGACTCAAACTTCTTCAGGGTCTGAATCTCCTTCTCGAAGATGTCTCTCACCTTCCTGCAGAAAGAGACAGCGTGGTGAGGTCAACAGAGCAAGGCATGACATGGCACTGTCTCCTCCTGTCTGCCTTGTGTCACTCCTGCCCAGGACAACTCACACTGGGTCGGTGGTCAGCGGCCTCTTGAAGGTTTTGATGGCAACAGGGTACTTGAGGTACTCGCCTTCGTAGAGGTCAAAACTCTCAGTGCCCTGCAAGTGCCTGTAGAAGGTGAGGTGGTCCCGCTGGATCTCGGTGATGTCTTCTCTTTTACCAACGTTGACTTTTTTCAAGGCTGCTCCCGCCACATGCCAGGAGGGAATGAGGGACACATTAGGCAGGGCTCGATGGGAAAGGACACAGTGCACAGGGTGCCAAGAGGCGCAATGCTGACTTACACTCCATCACATGCACAATTTTGTTCAGCTCGCTTTGCATCCAGTCTACCTTGCTCTCCATACATTGCCTGTCAATGTAGTTCTCCCTGGTCACATCTTTGGGCTCCTCAGTACCTGGGGAGAGAAACATGCAGAGCTGAGACCGCTGGATGAACATGTAGGACTGGTGCAGTCAGTTTTTATTGTGGTTTAAATGTCCCTTCATCTCTCCTTGGCCATGGCTATCAAGCCAAAGCTGGGCAGCAGCTGGGGAGAGGTGCCAACTGTCAGTCTCAGGTAAAGAGGGTTTGCTAAATGCACACTTACTTGCGATCACCTGGTCCAAGAAAGCCTTGTCGTCCCTCAGATCCTCAGCATCCTGCCTGCGACATGTCTTTGCCTGAAAAGCCTCCAGGAAAGTCTGCTTCTGCTCCGCCTGCAGCAGGAGCGAGAGCCCCTGGGCGATGTCCTCCAGGCTCTCATTCACCCAGACGAACTCCTCGCCAGTGCTGTGGGCTCTCAGGAACTTCTGAATCCAGCTGGTCTGGCTGTATTTCATCACCAGCTTCTGGGCTTCCCCCAGCGTCCGGAGCAGCTTCTTCAGCAGTTCCTCTTCTTGGTGGGAGATGTACTTTGGTGACTGAGCCTTGAGGATCCTCACGGGCTCCAGCAGGATCTGGATGCGCTCCACAAGGCGCTGACACTGGTGCTTACAGCACTTCACCTGCTCAAATTGGGCGTAGATGGCCTGGGCCAGGGAGAAGACCCTCTCCAAGATGTTCATGTTTGCAGCAAAGGGCTTGGCCACTGGGGATGTGGGCTGGCGTTGACTGGCAGAGGTGAACCTTGAGCACTGTTCAGAGATCAGCTAGATGCAGATTTTCCACGTTTTCCACCCTAAGGAACAGCCTTAACATGGCATGCCACCCTCCAGGTCTCCTATAGCCCCTTATATCTCCTCCAGTGCTTTGCTTTCTCTGCTTTGCCCGGCATGGTGGCTGCTTGTGCAAACCAGAGCAGGCACATGCAGACGGAAACATCAGTAGCAGCAGTATTGGCTCATCTCGCTCCGCATTAGCAAGAGAAGTTTTGGCTTGATTTATGTAAATTAATTTAGTGTTAGCTGTACCCGGAGAGTTTACACACAGATGAGCAGGGTCAGCAATGATGCAAGGAGCATCCCCTGGGCAGCACTCCCTGTCACTGGTCCTGCCCACAAAGCCTACATCTTTGACTGTAAATACCCGTTTTTCATTTCTAGCCAATGTCTCTCTGTTGTCACCCATCTGATAAAAGCTTTCACACCTTCACAAACCCAGTGTCTCCAACTTCTCCATATTTTTCTCCATAGCTCTGTGTTGCCCACTTAAGATTTTAAGTCAAACTCTTTCTATGTGTTTAGTATCCCCGCAGGGATGGTCCCTGCTCCCCAGCCCACATCCAGGCAGCAAGGACAGAAAACTGCCCCTGTTACAGAGAAATAAGCGGCAGTCACCCACACCATTGAGGCAGCCAGTGCTGAGAGAGGGGTGCTGGGCTCTACCAGCTGGAAATGAGACAGAAACATACCCAGAAACAAGCTGCAGCCGCTCTCCCTTCCTCTTCAGGCTCTCTCCAGCATGGCCCCAAGGAAGAAGTTCATCCACTTGCTAAGAGAAATCAGCTGCGTTTACCTGGCGCCCTCCTCGCTCCCCTCTGCCTTCGCCTTGGCTGTCTCCGCAGACTGGAGAGCCACGCAGGACAAACGCGAGTTTATAGGGTGCTTTCCCCAGCCACTGCTCCCACAGGCAGCGGAAGGGACGTTGTGCAATGTGCTGTGGCGTCTCACACCACCCTGCTTCCCAGAAAGCTGCTCGGGGTGGCTCGGGAAGGGGTCATGCAGGCTGAATCCCCCCCATGCTGGGTTTTGGCGGCTGGAAGGAGGCATTTCCCACATGAAGCACATCAGGAGGAAGGGGGAGGCTGTGCTCCCCCTTTTGACACTTGCTGCTGTTATGAGCACCCCAACCACTTCTGTTGTGCCACCAGCTCCGGCAAGCCTGGTCCAGGGCACTGTAACACCCTCAGTGCTGGGCAGCAGGACCCTCCAGAGCTCATCCATCCCACCTGAGGGATGCTGGTCCTTTGGGAGCTCCCGCTGCCCTCCCCATGACTCCCCAGCACTAAAGGAAGCGGGTTGAGGCACCAATGCTGGAAATGGCACTTGACCTCTGCCAAGAGCGCAGGAAGCATCGTGAGCGGCTTCGTCAGAGGTGCAGGCTGATTTTGGGAAGTGCGGGGCAGCCCATAATGCCATTGCCCAACTTCGGGAAAGTGAGCAACAACTCCGGCCAGCTTCCGTTTACCAAGAACCTGGGGTCACGCAGGTTTGCAGCAGTTTTCCCCTGAAAAAAGCATCGTCCGTGGTCGACGGCACAGCTTTCATCAGCGTGGGGAGCTGAGGAAAGCGACCGCAAGGTACCAGGGCACTGAGGGTCATCGGCACCTGGCAAGGGATGGACCCGGGGTGGGAGGATGTGGGAGCAGCGGCGGGGAATTCATTTGCACACACACACCACCAGACCCTTTCTTTAAAGGCTTTATTTTTCAAAATATACAGTTTATTTACAATTGTAGTGTCTACAGTTTTACACAGAACTTTATTCCAAACCTTTAAATAGCTGCAGTAAACATTAGGAAAAAAAACATAAATCACAGAATCGGCAAAAAAGGCAACTCGTAGCAATTCTGTTCATTGGAATTTAAGTTTCAAGTAGCCAATGTCTGAAAAAAAACCCCATGAACTTGATAAATCTGGCAGAGAGATACGGGTGCACTGGTTAGAAAAAGGCAAAATCCAGACCTGCGAGGTCCCCACCCCAAGGGCTGCAGGCCAAGAAAACCCTGTGCTGGGATCGGGCCGGGAGAAGGACCCGGGATACAGAAGCCCCTCAGCACGAGTTAGGTGATGGGGTTAACTGCAGCGTGGTGGGCACCTGGGGAGGGGGCACCCCAAGAAGGCCAGGGGCTTGGGGGGGCTCCAGTGAGGTGCCGGGGTAGAGGAGGGAGAGCAGCATCGGACACTTCATCTCTCGGGCAGCAGATCTGCCCTCTCATCCGTGGCCTGGAGCAGGAGGACGATGAGGAAGGGGCAGGAACTCCCCAGGGAGCCCCACAACCTCCTC